TTTTTTTTTTTTTTTTTTTTTGGACAGGTTGGTATATAGCTCATGTACCTAGCATTGAATTCCCTTGTGTGACATAGGGTGACCTTGAACTTAATAGCAATCCTCCTTTCTTACCCTTCTGAGTACTGGAATTACAATTGTGTGCCACATAGCTGACCTTATTTTCTGTTTTTTAAAAAATATTTATATGTTGAGTTTCTCATCCAAGTTATATGATATTTAAGCTTGTGTTTCTCATTTATTTTGCTTATCATATGATCTCAAGATGTATCCATTTTCCTACAAATGACTCAAATTTATTCTTTATGGCATAGTAGTACTACATTATGTATAAATACCATATTTTCTTTAAAGAAATGTATCTTTCTTTATAAAAGTACTACTTGATTATGCATAAATACTGTATTTTCTTTATCCACTCATCAGTTGATGGACACATAGGTTGCTTTCTTCCAAAATTTAGCTATTATGAATTGTGCTGCTATAAATATGGGGTAGGCAGCTATCACTATAATAGATGTCTTTAACTCTTTGGGAAGATACCTAGTAAAGGAATAGGGTCAAATAGAATTTTTTTTTTTTTTTTGAGGATTTTCCATAGTGGTTTCCCACTGACCATGAAGGATTCCTTTTTCACTACAGCCTTGCCAGCATTTGTTACTATTTGATTTCTTGAGGGTGGCCATTCTTTTTGGAGTAAGATGAAATCTTTTAATTTGGATTTTCCCATTGGCCAATGATGTTAAACACTTTTTTCATGTATGTATGTGCCATTTATTCTTCTTCTGTGAAGTCTGCTAATTTCATTTGCACACTTTTTGATTGAGTCCTTGTTTTGGGGGGGTGTGATTTTTATGAGTTCTGTATATATTATAGATATTAGCCCTCTGTCCAAAGTGTAGCTACCAAAAAACTTCTCATACTCTATGTTTTTCTTTACATTTTTTTAGTTGTTTCTTTCAGTGTTCAGAGGCTTTTTAATTTGATATAATCCAGTTTATTGATTCTTCATGGTATTTCTTTTCAGTTAGTGTTCTGTTCAAAAGGTACTGGTCTATGTCTATGACTTCAAGAGTTTTACCTATTTCATCTTCCAGAAATTAAGTATTTGTTTTAATATTTATATATTTGATCCACTTTTAATTTTCATAAATGGTAAGAGATACAGATTGAACTTCTGTCTTCTGCGTGTGTATAGCCAATTTTCCCAACACTGTTTATTAAAGACGCTGTCTTTCCTCCAACATATGGTTTTGTCAAAGATTGAGAGGCTGAATGTATCTAGAGTTTATTCTTCATCCTTTATTTTGGCCCATTTTTGTGCCAGTACCATGCTGTTTTTATCACTGTAGCTTTTGTAACTTGAGATCCAGGTTTGTGATGCCTCCTGCTTTGCTCTTGTTGTCTAGTATTGTTTTTCTTATTCTGGGTGTCCTCTGATTCTATATAAATTTTAGGATTTTTTTTTTCTAATTCTAAGCGGAATGCTTTTGGTATTTTCATTGGGATTGTGTTAAATCCTTATATCATTTTGGTAGTATGGCCATTTTGACAATATTGGTTCTGCCTTTTCAGGAACAAGGGATGTGTTTCTTCTTTCTAATGTCCTCTTTGATCTCCTTTTTCAGAATATTGTTGTTTTCATGTTAGAGGTCTTTTACTTCCTTGGTTATATTAATTCATAAGTATTTGGTTTTCTTAAAGCTATTTCAAATGGTATTGTTTTCCTAAACTTCTCTCTTAGTGGGTTCATTATTGGTATACAGGATTCCTGTTAGTTTTTGTGTATTCATTTTGTACCCTGCCACACTGCTGAATTTGATTATTAGTTCTAACAGTCTTCTGGTGGAATTTCTTGGATCTTTTATATAAAGGATAATGTCATTTGTGAATAATGATAATTTGACTTCTTCCCTCCCTCCCTCTCCTCCTTCTCCCCTTCCCCCCTTCCCCCCTTCCCTCTTTCCCTGTTCCCCTTTCTCCCTTTCATCTTTCTTGGATCACACTCATGACCTTGCACTTGTGAGGCAGGCGGCTGCAGCACTGAGCTAAATCCCTTCCTGATCCCTTTTCTTTCTTTCTCTTGCTTGACTGCTGTGGCTAAAGTTTCAAGTAATATATTGAACTGGATTGGTGATAATGAACATCCTTTTTCCAGATTTTATAAGAAAAGCTTTCAGTTTTACCCCCACTTAATATGATGTTGGCAGGAGGTTTGTCATAAATGGCTTTTGTCAGATTGAGATGAAGTCCTTCTGTACCTATTTTCTATTTTTATCATGAGCAGATGTTGGATTTTGTCATCTTTTTATGTGTCTGATATAATCGTGTGACTTTTGTACTTGTTTCTGCATATGTAATGTATTCATTTGTATATGTTGAACCACCCTTGCATCCCTGGGATGAAGCCTACTTGGTCATGATGTATGATCTGTCTACTGATTTGTTACATTCTGTCTGCCATTATCTTGTTGAGGATTTTTGCATCTGTGTTCTTTAACACATTCATGGGGGAGCCATAGTTCATATGCCTTGCTCCTATGTGGTTTGAAGCACCAGTGGAACATGTATGACTATCCCATGCATGGCTGTACCACTTACACCACCAGTAGTACAAACTGCCCAATGGGACAATTGAGCATATATCAGTGGTGGATCAAGATAAAGCCAGCAGAAATATGTTAAAAGAGATTGGCCTATAGTTTTATTTTTCAGTTGTCTTTTTTTTTGGTGAGGGGTCAGGGTCTTGCTTTGTAGTTCTGTGTAGCCTCAAACTCATGGCAATCCACCTGCCTCTGCCTTCTTTTTTTTTGGTACCAGGGATTGAACTCGCGTCCTTGCACCTGCGACACAGGCAACAGAACCACTGAGCTAAATCCCCAGCACTTTGCCTCTGCCTTCCGAGTGCTGGGATTATAGGTGTGTGCCACAACACCCAGCTTCATTTAAGTCTTTGTCTGGTTTGGGAATTAAGGTAATGCTCACTTGTAGGAATGAGTTTGGAAGTATTCCTTCCCTTTCAATTTCATTAAGGATTTTGAGGAGTATTGGCATTAAATCTTCTCTGAAATTCTTACATAAGTTAGTGGTGAATCTGTTGGGTCCTGGGCTTTTCTTTGTTGGTAGGTTTCTCATTAATTAGCTTTGGTTTTGTTGCCTCTTACCAGACTGTTCAGAGCTTTTATCTTCTTGATTCAGTTTTTATAAGTCATATATGTCAGGGAATCCATTTCTTCAACATTCTCAAATTTATTTCGAGTACAGCTTTTCAAAGTAGTTACTAATCTTCTGAATTTTGGCAGTATCCTACCCCCTGCCCCCACCTCCCACTACCGGGGATCAAACTCAGGACTTTGCGCTTACAAGGCAGGCATGGTGCCACTGAGCTAAATCCCTGGCCCAGCAGTATGCATTTTGATTTCACCTTTTTCATTTCTAATTGTGTTGATATGGGTCTTGCCCTTCTTTCTTATGGTAAATTTGGTCTAAGTGTTGTCTATTTTGTTTATTCTTTAAAGAACCAGCTCTTTAATTCACTGATTATTTTTTTGGTCTCAATTGCTTTAATTTCTGCTCTCATCTTTATAATCCTTCCTTGCATTAGGTTTAGATATGGATTGCTTTTGTTTTGCCTAGGACCTTCAGGTACATCATTTGGTTATTTATTTGGGCTTGCTCTGTTTTACTGCTGTGGGCATTCATAGAAATAAATTTCCCCTTTTAGGACTGCTTTTATTGTGTCTCATAGGTTCTGCTATGTTGTAATGACATTATTATTTGAATCTAGAAACTTTAATTTCTTCCTTGATCTCTTCTGTGACTCATTTATTATTCAAGATTGTATTATTTTGGGGCAGGGATTTAGCTCAGTGGCGCCATGCCTGCCTTGCAAGCACAAGGTCCTGAGTTTGATCCCTGGTACCAAGAAAAAAAGATTGTATTATTTAATTGCCATGTTTTTGCAAAATTTCTTGTTTCTTTTGCTGTTGATTTCTAATTTCATTACATTATTTGATAATATCATGAAATAATTTTGATTCTTTTGTATTTAAGCAAGCTCTGTAGGCTAGTATGTGGTATATTTTGGAGAAAGTTCTGTGTGCTGGTGAGATGAATGTGTATTCCTTTGTTGTAGTGTGGAACAGTCTTGAGATAACTATTAAGTCCACTTGTTTGAAGGTGTGGTTCGTCCCTGATACTTCTGTGTTGATTTTCTGTTTTTGATCCATCTGAGTTGGGTATTAATATGTCCACTATAGGACTGTAATTTCTATGTCTTGCTGCCAGCCAGCTTTGATTTGAATATGTTGTTTCTCCCAGTTTCAATCACCAGTGATATATGCATAACTGTCCTACTAGGCAGCTTGTGCCATTTATTATTAAAAAGATTGATAAAAGTGATTAGATCCAGTGCTACAAGTTGCCCAATGGGATAGTCATAAATGTACCACTGGTGGTTCAAGCTTTTGGAAATGTACTTAAAGTCTCTCATTATGGTTGTGTTGATGTTTATCTAATCTTTTATATCCATTACATTTGTTTTATGAAGTTGGGTGTGCCAGTGTTTGGTACATATAGTAGTGCATTGGTTCACAAACTTAATTTGTTCCAGAAGTCTGTGGAAGATGGCTGC